CTTGGTCCCCTCTGGCTGCTTAATGATGGGGACACACAGCTTCTTCCTCCTCAGACACTAGCGGTTAGAGGGTCTCCTCCTGGGAACCTGGCTGTCCTCTTCTGACGCTTGTCTCTCTCAGGCCAGGCACGACCGAGTAGCGGAAAGCACTTGGGCCTCGTGGCCGCCTGCCTGTGGGCGGCGCAGTGGTGCCCGTCCTCGGGGCGTGGTTGGCTTGGGCCACTGGCCTGCGGATCCGCCGGCCCTCAGGTGCCAGCGGGGTGTAGAGGGCGAGTCCCTATCTGGTCGAGATGGTCACTCCAGGGGCTTCAGACTCAGGTCCAGGACTCAGACTGGCCAGCGATGACGCCAGGGCAGAGGACCTCTTACCCGAGTCGATGAGAATCCTTCCTGGAACTTTCTGGGGCCGGCTTGGGGCCATGGCAAGCCTGGCCCTGGCCCTTCCGGGACAGCACTGGTGCAGGCCCGGCTTGCGCACTGCTCTTCGGGAACCGTGGTCCTCATGTGGGGGGCCTGTGGGTCAGGGTGGGGCGCGCCCGCTCAGGTGAGTGAGGGCGACTGGCTCTAGACACCTGCTGTCCTGCGCAGTACTGAGTCAGCAAGGCACTGTGTGCTTGGCACTCGTTAACAGGCTAGGTCTCCTGTTAAGTGTCCTTACAACAATGGAAAAAAAAGATGCTGTCTTATTACAAGGGGACCGAGTTAAAAATGAGGGGTATTGCCCTTTCTAATGGTGAATAAAAGTGATACCGTTGCTTAAAAAAAATGATTAAAGCCAAGGGCAGATTCTGGAGTTCTCTATTCAGGTCACTCGGAGCAGGATTCTGTGAACACTAAAAACCAGAATAACAAGTTGTTTTTTTTTTTGAACAGAGTCTTACTTTGTTGCCCAGGCTAGAGTGAGTGCCGTGGCGTCAACCTTGCTCACAGCAACCTCAAACTCCTGGGCTCAAGCAATCCTCCTGCCTCAGCCTCCCGAGTAGCTGGGACTACAGGCATGCGCCACCATGCCCAGCTAATTTTTTGTATATATATTTTTAGTTGGCCAATTAATTTCTTTCCATTTATAGTAGAGACGGGGTCTCGCTCTTGCTCAGGCTGGTTTCAAACTCCCGACCTCAAGCAATCCGCCGGCTTTGGCCTCCAAGAGTGCTAGGATTACAGGCGTGAGCCACCTTGCCTGGCCTGAATAACCAGTTTTTGGGTAAGATTCCTGTCTCTCTTAGCCCCCTCCCTTAATACTCTTAGTATCTTTGTTAAAGGGAAGCCCAGAGAAAGGAGAGAAGAGAGAAGACAGAAGTTTATTGATTAGTCTCATTTTAACAAAAAGAAACGGGTGAAGATATTAAAGCAAAGATTCACACGAGTGAAGCCACAATAAGTGGTGTCAGAACCTGTCCATTCCATCCTATTGGCCAATACTAATTTGTGGGGTGTGAGTGGATTTGAATGAGCTACTAACAAACTCCCTGACGATGTGCTTGTGGATCATGCGGGACACACGGGTGGGGAGTGCTGGGCTTATGCCAGGTGGTGACCAGGTCGACACTCGGCCCCATGACCTCCCCAGGGCATGTCAGTCAGTTTACCAGAGGTGGGAGGGATGCCAGCGTTCAAATTCATAAAAAGTCCTATAGGTCTGGACAGCAGATAAAAATCTAACAAAATGTAATTAATGTATTAAAGCTAAATGCGGCCAAGCACGATGGCTCATGCTGTAATCCTAGCTCTTTGGGAAGCAAAGGCAGGGGGATTGCTTGAGGCCAAGAAGTTCAAGATCAACCTGAGCAAGAGTGAGATCCACGCAAAAATATAGAAAAATTAGCCAGACTTAGTGGCACACGCCAGTAGTCCCAGCTGCTCTGGAGGCTGAGGCAGGAGGATCGCTTGAGCCCAGGAGTTTGAGGTTGCTGTGAGCTAGGCTGATGCCACAGCACTCTGGGTGACAGAGCAAGATCCTATCTCAAAAACAAAGCAAACAAAAAAAGGTTAAATGTGAGGTTTGGTCTTTGATTCTAAGGAAACCCAAGGGAACAATTCAGGATTGGCACAAAGTGACTTAGTAGCAGCTAGGGAAAGAGTTTAAGATTTTCAGGGAATCACCAATCAGGAATATCCAACATGATCAGATTTCTTCAGAAATTCTTTAACTTATATTGATGAAAGAATTTGGCTTCATTTAAGATAGAGGTGTGTGCGAATTTGTATATGTTACCGTGTATAGAAATTTCTTCCACGAAATTCCCGTTAGATGGTCATCTCTTGTTGAGAAATGTGATCAACTGTTGATTTTTGCTTCTGGGATGCAATAGGAGCCAGCGTTGTTTGTCTTTTCCTGGAGATACCCAACTGCTAGCACCATCTTCTTTTGGAAAAATGTGTTCTTTCTCGGGGCACTGCAGTGCCACCGACACGCTGTCTGCTGGCTGTCTGCGTGGAGGTCTGGTTCTGGGCTCTGTTTCGTATTGCATCGACCTGTTCTGTCTCGTGCCGGAACCACACGGTCCTCATGGCTGTCACGTGAAAGAACAAGGTGTGCTCTCTGGGGGAATTCACGTCTTTACAATATCTTCTGGTCTTTATTTTAATTAATTAATTTATTTATTTATTATTTATTTATTTATGACAGAGTCTCGCTTTCTTGCCCAGGCTAGAGTGAGTGCTGTGGCGTCAGCCTCGCTCACAGCAACCTCAATCTCCTGGGCTCAAGCGATCCTCCTGCCTCAGCCTCCCGAGTAGCTGGGACTACAGGCATGCGCCACCGTGCCTGGCTAATTTTTTCTCTATATATTAGTTGGCCAATTAATATCTTTCTATTTTTTTTTTTTTTTTTTAGTAGAGACGGGGTCTCATTCTTGCTCAGGCTAGTTTCGAACTCCTGACCTTGAGCCATCTGCCCGCCATAGCCTCCCAGAATGCTAGGATTACAGGCGTGAGCCACTGAGCCTAGCGTATCTTCTGGTCTTGATGGTGGTATTTCTTTCCATTTATTTAGGTCTCCTTAATGTCCCTCAGAGTTTTACAACATACTCCGCAAAGGTCTTTGGATTTATTCTTAGATACTCTGTATTCTTACACTATAGTATAAGAGCATATTTTCCTGTATAATCTTTATGAGTAATTTTCTCATCTTACAGCACTGGCTGGGGACTCCGTGCAATGTCACATAGAGGTGATGGTGAGGAAGGTTTCCCAGTGTCACTCCTGATCTCAAAAAGAATGTTTTCTAAGTTTTACCATTAAGATATGTGCTATGGTTTTTTGGTACATATCTCTTAACAGATAAGGAAGTTCCCTTATATTGTTAGCCTGCATGGGATGTTTCTAAAATCCCAAATGGATGTTGAATTTTGTTATATCCTTTTTCTGCATTTATTGAGATAAACAGATTAAGAGAGAAAAATATGTGGCGAATTTAATTAACTAAATTTTCTAATGTTAAATAATCTTATATTCCTATGATAAAGCCAACTTGATTAAGGTGTATTATCCTTTAAAAATAGTATTAGATTCTAGGCTGGGCGCGGTGGCTCACGCCTGTAATCCTAGCTCTCTGGGAGGCCGAGGCGGGTGGATTGCTCGAGGTCAGGAGTTCAAAACCAGCCTGAGCACAAGAGTGAGACAAGAGTGAGACCTCATCTCTACCATAAATAGAAAGAAATTAATTGGCCAACTAATATATATATAGAAAAAATTAGCCGGGCATGGTGGCACATGCCTGTAGTCCTAGCTACTCGGGAGGCTGAGGCAGGAGGATTGCTTGAGCCCAGGAGTTTGAGGTTACTGTGAGCTAGGCTGACGTCATGGCACTCACTCTAGCCTGGACATCAAAGCGAGACTCTGTCTCAAAAAAAAAAAAAATTGGATTAGATTCTATTTGGTGATATTATTTAGGACTTTTTCCATCTTTATTCATGAGAAGAAAATTATAGCAAATTTCATTCTCATACTGCCTAATTGAGTCTCCTTAGTCTCCTGAGAAGCTGAGACTACAGGAACCACCATGGCCAGCTAATTTTTAAATTATTTTTTATAGAGCAGGATCTCACTATGTTGTCCAGGCTGGTCTCACACTTCTGGCTTCAAGCAGTCTTCTTACCTTGGCCTCCCACAGTGCTAGGATTACAAGTGTGAGCCACTGCGCCCAGCCTTTAATCCATGTGGTGTTAGATTTTGTATATGGTGTTAGGTAAGGGTCCAGCTTTTTGGAGGTGGACATCCAGTCGTCCCAGCAGCATTTGTGGAGAATACCATCCTTCACCCCACTAAATGGTCTTGGCCCCTTGTCACTGCTCGCTTGACCTATATGAGGGTTTCTTCTGTACTGCCACGTAATTTCTTTTTTTTTTTGAGACAGAGTCTTGCTTTGTTGCCCAGGCTAGAGTGAGTGCCGTGGCGTCAGCCTCACTTGCTGGGACTAGGCTGGACTAGCTGGGACATGGTGGCCCACGCCACCATGCCCGGCTAATTTATATATATATATTAGTTGGCCAATTAATTTCTTTCTATTTTTATAGTAGAGATGGGGGTCTCGCTCAGCTGGTTTCGAACTCCTGACCTTGAGCAATCCGCCCGCCTCGGCCTCTCAGAGTGCTAGGATTACAGGCGTGAGCCACCGCGCCCGGCCCCACGTAATTTCTTAAAGATTAATTAGTACTGGACCCATCACTGATACTCGTTCCTGTGCAGTGCTTCGAGTCCACGCTCTGGGCGGACGCAGCCTGCTGCTGGCTCGCTCAGATGGGAGTCGTGTTGGCCACTTTTTCTCTCATGTTTCCCGAAGCCAAACATGGCTAAGATACTTTGATTAAATATTTTTCTCAAATTACCTGTGTCGTAAGACGAGTTCACTCGCCACCGCCAGCTGATGTGGGTGGCTGACCAGCGCCTGGGCGGCGCCCGGCACAGCCGGGCCGAGAGCGGAGCGGCGGCCGCAAGCAGACGCCCGCCCCGCCGCGCAGCGCTCCGGCCTCTCACCCGCGTGTCTCGTTGGTCAACAGGTTGCGACACTCTTCTCTCATCCCAGCGGTGTGGACAGTGCCACACGCCCCCCGAACAACAACGGCTCTTGCGTGCATTTTCCAGTGCTGCCTGTGTCAGAGAGCCCAGCAGGGCCACGGGGCTTCCAGAGCCAGCCCTGAGCGGAGGGAGGGGTGCCCAGCAGAGATGGTGAAGATGACAAAGTCCAAAACTTTCCAAGCCTATCTGCCGCACTGTCACCGGACGTACAGCTGTATCCACTGCAGGGCCCACCTAGCCAACCACGACGAGCTCATCTCCAAGGCAAGTGGCTTACGTAGAAAACTTGATTAGAAAAATCCATGAGGCTTTAGCAGACAATGGTAACCATCACATGGCCTCCTGAATTTGCTGTGCCCTGAAGGTCTTGAACCTCGTGGGCAGCTGTGCATGGCCACACGTGGCGACGCCACGGACCTGGCGTGAGCCAGGCCGGTGGGTGGATTCGGAGGCCAGCGTTGGGGTCGCCCAAGGGCCCAGCGCAGGGTGCGTCGGTCACTTCTCAGAGCGGCACGACTCAGGGAAAGCCAGAGAGTACTGGGTGAGCAAAGGAGGTCTAGAAAGTCTGTGAATAGTTTAATAATAAGGGAAACTAAATAATAAACTAAATAATAGTTTAATAATAAGGGAATTAGGAAATTTTTAAAGCTCAGAATGATTAAAAAGGGGAGGGGCAGCTCAGGCAAAGGCCCGGAGGGTGCAGGTGCCTTTGCCAGGACCTTTGGGCGCCGGGGAAAGCTCTGGGAGGTTCCCTGTGCAGGACCCACACGCAGCTGGGGGTGTGTGGCAAGGACGCACCCCCCACCCCCTGCGCTCAGCTCTGACCCCTCCCGGCAGGCCCAGGCCCCCATGCTCCTGCTGAGCGGCCTGAACCTCAGCCCCACAGGCACTCGGGCCTTTTGGGGCCCTCTTTGTAGGCCTCTGGTCTAACTCCGCCAGAACATTTATCAGTTTGTATTTTCACTGGGCGGTAGTGAGCGCTGTCTCGCTTCTGTTCCTCCTCTGAAATGAACACTGTTAAGCAAAGCAGGGCTTCTCCGGTGTCTCCTCTGCCCGGTCAGAAGGTCCCAGTAGGAAGTGGAAGCTCCGCTGGCACCTTGCTTTCCTGGTGTGTTTCTGAGGCAGGCTCAGCGTGAGGCGACACTGAGTTAGTGAAAGGCAGAACTGCTCTGGGCCTCCAGGTGGGGAGGTGTGGCTTGGCGACATCACTGGCCTGTGACTCACCTGAGCAGGTAGTCAGAGTCAGGTGCCACATTTGCTTTTTACAAGACAAGGTCTCTCTCTGTCACCCAGGCTGAAGTGCAGTGGGATGATCATAGCTTACTGCAGCCTTGAACTCCTGCCTCAGCCTCCCAAGTAGCTGGGACTACAGGCATGTGCCACCACCCCCAGCTAATTTTTAAATTTTGTGTTAAGACAGAGTCTCACTGTGTTGCCCAGGCTGGTCTGAAACCCCGGGGCTCAAGCAATATTCCTGCCTCAGCCTCTCAGAGTGCTGGCATTACAGGTGTGAGCCTTCGTGCCCAGCCAGTCTTTTGGTGAAGCTTGCTGATGTATTATTTGTCTTAGGTGCACCAAAATGAATTTGACAAGATGCTTCTTTTGAAGGACCCCAAAGCCACTAAGCTGTTACAAGAATTACATTGGGAGCAGGATCCTGCTCTGCATCAGTGGAAACTGTTACCAGTCAGGACATTAAATGAGCATTTCAGGATGAAAAAATGCTGAGAACTAAGCTCTCCAAGCACACAGCTGCCGAGAGGTGCCCTACCTCTCGTCTCAGCTGGTGGCGAAGATGCTTAGAGTAAACTCTCCCACTCTCACGTGGCTTCAGATAAAGGAGTTCATTGCAGCTGCAAAGAACACTTGCCACGTGGAACAGGTTCTAGCACGTACAAGGCTAGAGGTACCGACAGGCTCTAGGCCCATCTTTGTCACTAACAGGTAACCCCCTGGTCCAAGGGAGCTTGTCCTTGTAGACAGCTCTAACTGCTGGGGGGCTCTCTCAATAGCGAGCAGGCTGGGACCTGCAGGCGGAATCTGCTAGTCCACCTGTTTTTGTAAAGATTTATAGGCTCACAGCTGTGTTCATCTGTTTACAACACAATTGGAACAGAGACCATATGGCCTGAAAACCTTGAACTATTTATCTCCTGGCTCTAACTTACACACTGGTCAGACTGAACTCTGAATTGGAATCACAGACCTGCTCCTATGCCTGCTCCAAACCCTGTTTAAAACATAAGGGTTTTCAGGCCGGGCCCGGTGGCTCATGCCTGTAATCCCAGCACTCCGTGAGGCCGAGGCAGGAGGATCACTTCAGCCCAGGAATCTGAGATTGCCACTACATGCTAGCCAGGGCGACAGAGCAAGACACTGTCTCAAAAATAAATAAATAAGGACTTTCAGAATAGGTGAAAGAATTAGGAGATTTAATCCAGAAAATTGAAGGCTGATAAGGATGTGTGAGAAGTCGAAGTCTATTAGATGATTATTAAACTTAATATAGCGAGACTCTGTCTCAAAAACAATCATTGCTCATAATCACCCAATAGTGCATGTGTGTAAAGTAAAATATACGAATTGCTGCTTCCCGGCTCTTGTCCCCTCTACTCCCTGGCATTATCACTGGGGGCATTTTGGTGTCTGTCCGTCTGTCTGTCTGTTTTGATTTATAGAAACATTCTTCACCTTAAATAACGAGTTCGCTTCTTCCCTTGGTTTCTGACGCCTGTCTTCCCACCCCTGGCACAAACACCCTGTTCTGGCTCCACTGCTGGGGACCATCCCCTCCCCTGCGCGAGCCCCACATTGGGTGCGGCGGACCCGCTTGTTGGCGGATCTGACTCGTGTTTGTTTGGGTTGTGAACACCGTGAGGGTGACGTTCCCGGCACATTCCTCACCTGCCCAAGCTGCTTTGTTCTTCATACTCTTAGAAGTAGGGCTCCGAGGTCTGCGTGTGCGCCTTTTTTTTTTGAGACAGAGTCTCACTCTGTCGCCCAGGCTAGAGTGAGTGCCGTGGCGTCAGCCTCGCTCACAGCAACCTCAGATTCCTGGGCTCAAGCGATCCTCCTGCCTCAGCCTCCCAAGTAGCTGGGACTACAGGCATGCGCCACTATGCCCCGCTAATTTTTTCTGTATATTTTTAGTTGGCCAATTAATTTCTTTCTATTTTTAGTAGAAATGGGGTCTTGCTCTTGTTCAGGCTGCTTTTGAACTCCTGACCTTGAGCGATCCGCCCGCCTCGGCCTCCCAGAGTGCTGGGATGACAGGCGTGAGCCACCGCCCGGCCCGTGTGTGCCTTTCACGCTTAGATGTCAGCAGCTTGTGTTCCAGGTAACATTTCCTCGCAGCGCACGGATTTGTGCAAAGGTGATAGGCCAAAAAAACCCCAAAAAAGTCATCTTGATTTGGTTTGCATTTCTTTGATTATTGTTACGGCCAAGCACGTCATGTTGGTGGTTCCAGATGCGCCCCAGGGCCTCCCTCCGGTTTCCCCTGTCATGTGGGGTGAAGGCTGTCAGCACTGGCCGAGTGTGTCCGGCTGGCACAAACACCCTGTTCTGGCTCCTCCTCAGCTGGTGACATTTTCCTGGGGTGAGATGTCACTGGAAGGTCCTTTTCTCCTACGTAAGGGGCCATCTTGGGCTGCGACTTGATTTTTATTTTAATGGAAAAGCGTGGAAACTTCGCCTTGCCCTGCTGTCTGGCAGTGATGCATCCACACTGCTGGAAGAGGCAGCCGAGAGCTTTGTGGGGAGCTGTGGGTATGGGGTGGAGAAAATGGGATGGAATCTTTCATGATTCCATCTCAGGATCTTCCAATTGGATGGAGCATCATGCAGCTCCCGTTTTTAAGAAAATGACTTTGCAATGATAGTCACTTGCAGGATGTTGAAGTGGACAGAGTCGGCCACTTGCTGACCTCAGTCTAGACTCAGAAACAGTCTGTCGCTCTGGTTAACGACCATTACCGTGAGGGTGGCACTCTGTCTGCTCCTCTGCAGCCTGTCCTGGTGCCGGGCCCGCACGCTGCGGCGCCTCTGGTTCCACACTCCTTCCAGAACGCAAACTCGCTGTTCCTTGCCGTCTGACAAGAGCCAAACTTCTAACACCTTCTCTTCTCTGCAGTCCTTTCAGGGCAGTCAGGGACGAGCCTACCTCTTCAACTCCGTGTGAGTAGCCGCCTCTTCAGTCTGTGGGCGCGGGCGCCTGGCGGGGTGGCATCGCTGCGTCCGCGCGGCCATGGCCAGTAATTCGAAGCTGGAACACACAGGAGTTCCGCCAGCAGCCTGGAGTCACCAGGTCTTCAGTGACCTGAGGAACCTGCTCTCCCTGGTCAGGGAGTGTCTGCACTCCCTGAGAGTCTAGCTCCCTGCAGCCGTCCTATCTCGGGATCCTTCTGGGGACGTAAAAAGTCTCCTTCCCATTAAAGGGCAGGGGTGCTGTGAAGACACAGCGCTGCTCTGGAAAGTTCCCCGATTCTGGTGAAGTTTTTCCAGTGAGGTGGGGGGTGGGGCCCACTGGCCAGGCTGGTCTTCAGCAGGGTGGCCCCTGTCCCCACAGGGTGAACGTGGGCTGCGGCCCCGCCGAGGAGAGGGTCCTTCTCACCGGGCTGCATGCGGTCGCGGACATCCACTGCGAGAACTGCAAGACCACGCTCGGGTGGAAATACGTGAGTACCAGCCCGTTCGCGGGGGAGCTGCAACGCGCCACCAAGGCACACAGTCTGCCACCAAGTAAAACCTGCCCCAAGCGTGATGGGTGGTGTCAGTCAAAGAACACGTGTGTCCAGGCGAGCTGCTTTGGGAGCCGGTTCGAAGCAGGTATAGGCACAGGGCTGCCCGCGCTTGCTGTACCCTGGTCACCCACGCTGCCCCAGGTGGAACCGTCAGGGTGGGCCCGGCAGCCCCCTCCCAGCCTGCCCCATCTCTCAGGGGCCTGCTGGGCTCGGAGACGGAGGGACACCTGGCTACCTGCCCATGGGCTCTTGCCCCAGCCCCTTTCTCTGAGGACTTTGAATTGAAAGTCGCCATCCCGGCCGCTGTGCAGTCTTCGCCTCTGGTTCTGTCTCCCCAGCATACGGTGGATCCACTGCCCTAAGCCACCAGCCTGTCCCTCCCACCCTGGCTCTGGTCTCTGTCCTGGCAGGCAGGGGCCAGCCTTGGTGCTGGACTCTCCTCCTCCTCCACCCCCTCCCTAGGCCCTTCTTTCAGAAAGCCCACTCTGGCCATCATGCTACCTGTCCCTCTCCACGGCCGCACCTGCGGCTTCCTGCTGGGACGAGCTTTCCTGTGTCCACCCTACCTGGGGCTGTGGCTCCGGTGGGCAGGACTCATCTCAGTCATCTGTGTCCCCAGCCCTGAGCACCAGGCCACACACTCTTTCCCTCCTCCTCAACCCACAAAGGGCTTCCTCTTTCCTGAACGTCTGTGGTCTGGGTCCAGGGCTCTCGCTGTTCCTGTCTTCACTCATGACTTGCACAGAATTCCTGGAAGCGCGTTTCGCACCTCTCCATGCCGCCCCGGTCGCCACACTTGGCTGACGTTCAGTGGACAGACTTGCCTTGACATTGCCCTACGACTTTAATGATGAACGCAAAGTAAACCTGCCCTGCCCCGATGGGCTTGGCACGGGACAGACCCTCTGGCTGGGTCAGCACGTGGCTAGGGAACATCTGGGTGTAGATGATACTAGTGACTTTGGGGTTTTTGCCAAGATTATAATGAAATTGGAAAATGAGACAGATTCTGTCCTGAAATCTCCTTTCTCTCTACTCTTTTTTAAGGAGCACGCCTTCGAGAGCAGTCAGAAGTATAAGGAAGGGAAGTTTATCATTGAGCTTGCTCATATGATCAAGGACAATGGTTGGGAGTAAAGTGAGAACTTTCCATTCTCTTTCGAATCCTATTTTGTGAGAGAAACTGTGAGTGCGACAGAAACAGGAACATTCTGGATGGCAGCGTCTCTTGAACTTTAACCCTACAGGCCAGCTGTGCACAGGGCTAGACTTGCCCAGGCCTCTCAGCCGCTTCCTTGGGTGGGGCCCTAGTCTCTGTCGCCTTGACATTTTTCTAGCTTCTCAAAGCTCTAGAGAAAGATTTAACCAACTGATGACTGCCCCGCCTAGTCAATATCCTCTTTTAGTCTGCGCCTTCAGCGCAGTGTGGCCATGTTCTTTTATGTTCCATAGAAAACCAAACCGAGTCTCTAAAGACCACAGGGACAGGCTCTCTTTAGAGAGCAAGCCTCACCTCTCGCTTTTTAGGGTAAAGGTATTGTAGCCAACTCCCTTTTCTTCTAATTCACAAAAGTACACATCGGTTATTCTTCTTGCAGATGAACTGTTAGGGAATAGTGTTCATTTAAGATTATTTCAGGTGCAGTCAACAAATTTACATACCAAGAGTGTTTTATTTTTTAGCCTGTTCAAAAACAGAGGACAGCACTGATAACATTTTAGATTAAGCTGTGGAGAAGTGTCTAGTGGAACATCTTGTTTATTTCAGCTGATAGATTCCTTACCTAGAAAGAAAAGAGCTAATGCTTAGAGAAGACTGTCCCAGGGCCCGTGGCGGCAACAGCCTTGCAGGGTCTCCGTGGCAGCAGCTGGGCCATGTAGTTCCAGAGTCTCACACTGGACAGAGAAGTTGGATTCCATTTTCTACCCTGCCGTACTTGAAGAAAAGAACGATTTTTGCATATGAAAGAGGCAGAAGCAACAGGAAAAACTTTAAAATTTGAGATTTGCCCGATTATTTAAAATTTTTTCCTAAAGTTGCAAGACAGGTTTTAACTTAGTAAATGAAGATGTTTGGTGTGCTGGAAGAGTCGCCCCTCCCTGCCTGGTGCTGTCCTGCGAGCTGACAGGGCACATGTGCCATCTCCTGTGTTTTGCCACCCGTCCCCCCCTCCACGGGGTGTGCTCCACGAGGGACTTGTGGCCCATTTGCAGAGAATGGAGGCCCAAAACTCCCAGACGAGGTTTGGGTTTCAACATCGGGTAACCTGACTTGGGGCTGAGGGGTGGGCAGAGGGCGGGGGAGGCCCGGGGCAGGAGATGGGAGAGCCACCAGCTGCTTGGCTCTCAGCCTGGCAGATGGCTCCGAAACCGCCTCTGACCAGGTGTCTGGGGACAGCAAGTGCAAGCAGGCGAGGAAAGTGAGGAAATGACCTCCAGCCAGCTGCAGGCCCCCCCACTCCAGGCCCCGCCTCCACCTGGACCTGTGGCCAGTGCAGCGCTGCGATGCTGCCCGGCTGACCCACCACTTGCCCTAGAGCGTCCCTCTGGGCACCACCTCGCCAAGACTCCAGGCCTTGGGATGTGGGAAATGCTGGCGCCCTGGGCACTGTGGCCACCCAGCAGCAGCTCCCTTAAGCACGTCTCCAACTTAGCTGGCGAAGGAGGGAAACCTGCGTACAGCTCTGCAAGAATCTGCCCTTGGCGGAGGCCCAGCAAGCTGCTACCTCGCGGAGTGGGCCGGGCCAGCGCATCCCACGCTCCTGGGCTAAGCACAGCGTAGCCGTTGCCGGCACAGCAGGGCTCCTGCTGCCATGCTCTGAAACCTGAAGAGGCTTCGCTCACGTGCTGGCACATGAAGTAGCGACACCTGTGGCTTCAGCCTGTAAGTGTGCCTGCGGGCCGCTGAGCCCTTCCTGCTGGAGGGACGGCCCCACGGTGGCATCCTGCAGCACAGGCTCCCTGCTAGTCTCCATTCCTCTTGGGGGACCCTGGCCTCAGAGGCCTCGGGATGGGGTGAAATGGCTGGGGAGCTCGTGCTATCCCCAACCTGCCGGGCCATGCAGGGGACAGGTCCATAAGACTTCACTTAAATCGGAATCTTTTAAAATCCTTCTGACCAATTTTTGTATATACTAAACTATATTTAAAGCTTTTATATGTTCTGGGCAAGTTTACTGCTCCTTCAATTTGAGCACTTTGGTCTTTGTATTGTCTTTGGTGATGGCATTGATTGCAGATTTTTTACTAGTTCTCTTATGACTTATTTTGTATTTCTTTTTTGTAATTGATACCAACAAAACTTTTATCACTTTTTTGTTGGTCTTCTGCAAAATACAAGCTCCTTTTTAAACCAAATGAACTGACCGTGAGCTGGCTTCAGGGGAAGTGATATTCACAAGACAATAACCAGATGTGCTGGAATGTTCCACCCTCTTAAATTCCTAAACAATATCACCCATGACTTAAATATTTAAATTATTTAAAATAATTTTTCCTTGAAAACAGTGGGAGGTGATGTCAGGATTATAAATGCATTTAACTTACACTAGTGTCTCTGGCAGTGCATTTGCTTTAGAAACATAGTTGTCATTATATATATATATATATATATATATATATATATATATATATATATATATATATATACATATATATATATACATATATATATATATAAAATGTACACACATAGTATTTTTATACTTTAAGGATTACTCTTGATGGCATCTGTCAGATATTAGAAAAGATCAGAAATGAGGATTTCCCCCAAAGTCCTTTAATTAACATGTAATTACCTCATTGGGTAATTATAAAAGCCAAGTGATTTTAATATCTAGAAAACTACAATTTAAGCTCTAAAATGACCTACAGAAACGTAAGCCCTCATCAGTCAAAAGGCCCTCAGCTTGGGGGGCTACAACCTCTGCCCTGAGGTGACCACATGGCCCTGAGGCCTCCTCTCAGGCTACAGGTGAGGCCGGCCAGACGAGGTGGCCTGGGGGTCCACGGAGCTTGTGCGCAGGCCACCCTCAGTGCACCTTCAGCCTTGGTCTAGTGTCTGTGTGAGGTTTACAAATAAAGCTTACGATGTCAAATGTCTCGTTTTAACTCATGCCCACAGTTGAGCTATGCCCTGATGCGCATGGACCAGCCCTGGCTTCCGGCAGGGCACTGGGAGAAGGTGGCCTTAGGGTTCCCAGGCGCCTCCCCATGCTTCTCTGCTCGGTGCATGGCCATCGGGCTTGTGCATGAGGACAGAGTAAGGTGGTCCAGGCTGTCTCCACAGGGCACACAAGGTGGTGCAGGTCCTCACCACAGCCGGCTGCTATGGCCGTCCTGGGCAGGCGCAGTTTGTCGAGTAAGCCATTTGCAAGCCTGAGTTCCCTCCTGCCTGCGCCGGCCTGGCACGGAGGGTGTCAGGGGGCCTGGGAGGTCACTGCAGAAGCACTTGTTCCCAGCACCAGGACAGAGGCAGTGTGGGAGCCCGTCAGGGAGATATAGGGCTGTGCCTGCAGCTTCAGCATCAGAAATGGGAGACGGAAGAGCCACGGTACATTCTGGAAGTCAGAGCTGATGAGAGTTGCTGACAGAGTCAAGGTTTTGGGAGAGGGAAAGGAGAAAACCCAAAACCACACCTAAGTCAGGATTTAGTGTCAGGAATGGGAAGGAGGTGGCGGCCCAAGGAGAGCAGAGCCAGGGGCAGGGCCTGTGTCTCCCTGGCATCCAGAAAGCCTGGGTGGCGGGGCCTGAGAACCAGAGAATGGAGGCCAGACCAGCACAGGCTCTGAAGATGTGATGAAAGGCCAGCGAGGGCTGGTAAGCAGAAAGTTTTTGGAAACATTCAGCAGAAAAATGGGGGGCAAGGGAGAGGTCTCTAAGGTAGGACATGCTGCTGCCGCTGCCCGGAAGCCAGGAGAGGCTGGGACTAGGAGCAGAGTCCTCAAGCATAAAGACAGGCAGCCCTGGGATGGGAGCCAGGCTGGCAGAGCAGGCCCATGGGAACATGTCCAGTCCCGCAGAGCCCAGGCAAGGGGTGGCAGGAGAGGTTTTTGAAGTAACACCAGTGCTCTAGTCCAGAGTCCTCATACTTCACCAGCCTTCAGAAGCCCCTGAGGGTTTGTCAAAGCAGATGGAGGAGGCTACCCCCAGAGGCTCCGGGTGAGAAGGCCTGGGGCCTGAGAACTTCTGGCTCTAGCAAGGTCCCAGGTGATGGTGCCAAGTGTGTAAACAGGCCATCTCTGAGAAGATGACAGAGAAAGCAAGCCAGTGGGAGCCAGCTGTGGCGGCTCACACCTGTGGTCCACCTACTCGGGAGGCTGAGGGAGGAGGATCACTTGGGCCCAGGAGTCCAGCTTGGGCAACACAGACTCTGTCTCTATAAAAAATAATTTTTGGCTGGGCGCGGTGGCTCACGCCTGTAATCCTAGCACTCTGGGAGGCCGAGGCGGGCGGATTGCTCGAGGTCAGGAGTTCGAGACCAGCCTGAGCAAGAGCGAGACCCCGTCTCTACTATAAATAGAAAGAACTATTAATTAATTGGCCAACTAATATATATAGAAAAAACTAGCTGGGCATGGTGGCGCATGCCTGTAGTCCCAGCTACTCGGGAGGCTGAGGCAGGAGGATCCCTTGAGCCCAGGAGTTTGAGGTTGCTGTGAGCGAGGCTGACGCCACGGCACTCACACTAGCCTGGGCAACAAAGTGAGACTCTGTCTCAAAAAAAATAATAATAATAATTTTTAACAAAAAGGAAAACCAGAGTGAGGGACACGGTCCTCCCTCCCCCAGGCCTGCCCACCGGAGGTCCGGGCCTGGGCCTGGGTCTAGCACAGGCTCCGTGCCTGGATGTCTGGGAAGTAGGCTCGAGAGGGGCTGAGGCCTTGGAAACGGCCAGGCCACCTGGCACCAGGTGGGGAATGGGGAGGCTCCCGGGGCCAGGAAAGGGGACCCAGGCAACAGGCAAGAGCTTTATTGGATGGCAGCCTAGGAAGGCAGAAAACTCAGGGATAGCGACATAGCCCCACATCCCCACTGGGACCCACAGCGGCCAGCCTGCTGCTACCAGGAGCTGAAGTCCCCAAAACCTCGGCTGGGCTTCTTCTTGGCCGTGGGGACAGCTGTGCTGGTGGACGGTTCTTCCTCCGCCGCTCGTTTCCTGGGAAGCGAAGAACCAGACTCCAGCATTGTGCAGGGCCGGCCGGGCCATCCTGGCACGCCCGCTCTCCACGCAGCCCGCCGTGCAGAGGCCCGGTCCCCTCGCACCGCTGCTGCTCCCATGGCCCCCCGGAGTCGCTGCCGCCTGCTCACAGGCCCCCTGCTGCAGCAGCCCCACGGCAGGGTTCAGCCTGCCCGAGCCCGGGCTTGCTGCTTTCTCACCACGGCCAGGTCTGCCCCACGGCCTGGGTCCCAGCCAGCCTCGGGGAGCACCACAGGAAACGGGGCCCAGCCCTGCCCACTCACGTGGCTGCCAGGTTGATGTACTTGCCCACCCCTTGGCGGAACGCCTGGGGGCCCTGGCTCCCCGCCTGGGGCTGGCTGGTCTTCACTTTGGTCTCCGGGGCCACCTCCAGCTGAGTCTTCTTCCGCTCCTCAGCGATCTGCAGCGGGACAGGGCTGGGGCTGACCTGTGGCGCCTGGGCTAGGGCTGTGAGGAAGGAGGATCTGCCTGGGCCCCTCCCCCGTGCGGCATCATGCCCGCCTCACCTGAGCATCGGCCTCCTCATAGGGGTCCACGAACACGGTGGTAGCGTCAATGCGGATCTCCTCCTGGCGGCAGAGAGGCGCTCAGTGCGGCAAGCCCGTCGCTCCCGCCTGCTGGCGCCCAAAGGTGCAGCGGCGTCCCAACGTCACCCTGGGCACATACCTTGGGGCGGTCAGTTTTGGGGTCACTCTCCACGTTCTCCATGGCTGTCAGTGTGTCAAAGCCGCCAACAACCCTGCAGCAGCAGGACAGAGGTGGGTCTCCATGTTCCCAGAGCAGGGCGCCCCCTGGCCGAGTCCCCAGGGCACACCGCGAAGGGAGCAGCCAGGAAGGAGAGCCCTGGGCAAATCTAGCTGGTTTTGTAAATAAAGTTGCATTTGGATAGGACCACACATGTTTCCTTCCATATTGCCTGTGTTGAGCTGCCACTGTAGAGCAGGGCAGTTGTCACAGAGACCATGTGGCCCACAAAGCTGGAAACCGCCGGGACCCCTACGGGAAACATCTGCCAACCCCTGGACTAGATGAGGAGAGAGACTGACATGGCCAGACTTCAGGCTCGGGTGTCACTGGGTCTGGGACAGGGCAGCCGGCCAGGCTGGGTGGGGACACATCCCCTCCTCTCCTGAGCCCAACAGGCCTGGAGAGCCAGACGTTCCCACCCAACAGAAGTTCCTGAGTCTCTATTCTGGAGCATCAACCCCAGCAGTGACAGCAAGGGCACCCCAGGCACAAGGCAGTGGGCGGGCCCAGGTAAGGAAGGGACCTGCCTGCCCGCAGGTGCTTCTCCTACCGTCCAAAGATGGTATGCTTCTTGTCCAGGTAAGCACAGGAGCGAAACGTGATGAAGCTGGGAAGGAGGGTGGGGGTTAGGGGGAGCATGGTGGGGTCCCCACCTGTCCTACCTCGGTCCCAGCCACTGCTAGGCACATACCAGGAGCCCCCACTGCCGCCTGCTGGGGCAGGCTGTGGCCAAGGCCACCCAGGTCACCCCCGACCTCAGGCTCCCCAGGAGGGAGCCCAGAGCACAACCACCTGCCGGGTGGATCCTGTGCCTAGAGCAGTAGGTAGCAGTTGCACGGGAGGTGGCTGGGATGGGGGCAGAGGGACAGCCAGAGCCAGCTCAGCCCCGCCCCGCCAGGGCCCTACTGAAGGACCAAGGACTCCAAACCAGGAGAAAGGAGGCGATGGAGCAGAGCGGGCGTGCGGGGCTGGGGAGCCTGGGCAATAGAGGAAACACCAAGGATGATCCCACCCAGGTCCGTCAGCCGTCTCAATTCCACCCCATTTTTATGACAAATCAGACGGCACGACAGCACTGTACTGGGCGCCCAAGGGACACCACGGCCTGGTCCCAGCAGCCCCAGCGACTAACGCGCACACCAGGGCATTGGAGAGGACGCCACCTTTTGCTGAAAAGCTTGACTATCTAGAAAACCCAAGAAACTTCTTTGTTGTTGTCTCGCTTTGTTGCCCGGCTGGAGTGAGTGCCGTGGCATCAGCCTAGTTCACAGCAACCTCAAACTCCTGGGCTCAAGCGATCCTCCTGCCTCAGCCTCCCGAGTAGCTGGGACTACAGGTATGTGCCACCATGCCCAGCTAATTTTTTCTATATATTTTCAGTTATCCAACAAATTTCTTTCTATTCATAGTAGAGACAGGGTCTCGCTCTTGCTCAGGGTGGTCTCGAACTCCTGACCTTGAGCGATCCCTCCTGCCTCGGCCTTCCAGTGTGCTAAGAGTACAGGCGTGAGCTACCATGCCCAGCCCCCAAGGAACTCTTAATGAAAACTACTTAAATTATAAGAGAATTTAATAAATTGGCTAGATATAAAATAAACTAGTTTTTTCTATACATGAGCAATAATCAACAGCTGAAAAACAATTCCAGTCATAAAAGTATCAAAAAGTATAAATTCTTAAGGGGCAGCTTAAGGCAAGGGACATAGTTGTGACAACTACGAAATGGCATTAAAGTCAGCAATACGTCCCAAGGGTGAGTCAAGCCATGCTGTCGGACAGGGACGGCGGGACGCGCACGTCTGCTCTGCCTTCCATATCGCGGCTGCCTTCCGGCGCTGCGGCCACGCTGCCTGCCCGCTGCTCTGCCCGCGCGTTGGGTCACACGCTCTGCGGAGCACCGTGTCTGTCCGGGCACCCCTCACTGTCCAGCCCGCACCCTGTACGCTCCGTCCCAAGGCACCGGTGTCAGAGGCTGATCTCCTGGCGCTGCCCCGCCACGAGCACCCCTGGCTCCTGTGAGTGGCGGTTTCTGTTCCCTCGAGGGCACACGCTGCCGTGTACGGCCCTCCCTGCCCACTGGCTCTGGGTCCCCTTTTGACGCAGTTGCACATGCTCCACGTGGGGGTGCCACACACTGCCTGGATCGGATTCAGGACCAGCACAACCTTTAGGGAGTGCCTAAGAGGATCAGCCTGCAGGGAGCTCGGGTCACTCCCCAGGCCCCGCCCGGCCCGCAGACTCACAACTGAGACTTGTTGCTGTTGGGCCCCGAGTTGGCCATGCTGAGGATGCCCCGGCCCGTGTGCGAGAGGTTGGGCCGGAACTCGTCCTTGAAGGGCTTCCCCCAGTATGACTCCCCACCTGGAGAAGAAGGCGTACAGCTGGCAGCAAGAACCCAGGGCCCTGCCGGGCCAGCCCGAAAACTCTGGGTCCTGAGGGGCATCAGACCTTGCTGGGCCGCCTGGAGCCCCTCTGCCCACACGCAGGCTGCTGCCCACTCACCCTCGCCCCTCGGGGGCCCTGCCCAGGACAGGATTAGAGGGTCAAGGCCAGTCAGCATCACTTAAGCTGCAGGGCGGGGCAGGGGCCAAGCAGCTGCCAGGCTGGGCTTAGAGAGGCCTTGGCAGGGGGAGCTGGCCAGGGACTAAAGCGACCATCCCTGGGAGTCCAGGGAGGAGGCGACACACTCCGTCCCATCTGTCCGTGGGCCGCATGACCACCTGGAAACGGGAGAACCGATGGCCTGAGGGGCACAGCGCCGGGGCTGCAGGTGATCTGTGCGATCCCTTGAATTCCCACAGGGTCCCACCGCCAAACCCTTTTGCCCCACGGAACAGCCAAGGGTCCCAGGGAGGGGCGACACCTACCTGTGCCTGTGCCTGTGGGGTCTCCACCTTGGATCTGTGAGAAGAACAGAAGCCAGTGAGCCTGTCGTGCCCTGAGGCCCACAGTCCACACCACCACCCAAGTCCCCACCTGGCAGACTAGCTCCACGGGGGCTCTGGGCTCTCGGTGAAGACCAGGGGCCCTCCCACCCCTCTCTGAGGGAACCTATTCTGCCTGGGCTGGGGACTCAAGGGGCAGCCACGGGTTCCTGGACAGATTTACCTATTGGACTTGCCCTGGTCACCATGGCCTGGCCCAGGTGTCTGGGACAGGCCCCTCCAGCCCCCTAACATCCCACCAAGCACATTTGTGCAGCCAGTGACTCACGCCACTCACCACAAAGTTCCTGATGGATCTGTGAAAGATGGTGCCGTCATAGTAACGCTTCTTGCAAAGCCTGATGAAATTTTCACAGGTTTTTGGCGTCTGCAAAACAGCCCCGATACTTCTGTGAGGTACGCAGCACCCAAGGGCAGGCCAAAAAAGCCACTCGGGGCATTTAACACATGGCAGACATGGTCAGCTGCCCTGCACATGGGGCAAAGAAGGACTCGAGTGGCCGTGGGGCCCAGAGCAGGGGCAGGGACAGACACGGGCAGGGCAGCAGACAGAGCTAGCCCAGTTGTGTCCAATAGGCCCCCTGGAGCAGACACAGGCACCATGGCTCCCTCTTGGGGACAGGCTACTAGTGGCAGCTCCATGCTGAAGACATGGCTGCCAAATGACCCAGAAAAAGCCCCGGGGTGGGGTGGGGGGGCTGCCACACCCACCAGGTCACAGTGCAGCTCCAGGTTGAGGTCGCCCCTGTTGGTGTGCAGCCGCACGTAGCCCTTCTTCTTCACAAACTGGTAGCGCAGCACGTCCTCGTCGATGGCAGCTGCGAGCAGAGGCCTAAGCTCAGGGCCTGCGCTCGCCCTGCAGCAGCCCCGCCGGGCCAGGCAGCACCGGCCCTGGATGCACAGGCTTCACAGTGCCCAGCGCGGGGGAGAGCAAGAGAGCAGGGGCCTCACAGGCTCACCTGGGCCTCGTGGGGGCAGCAGTTAAAGAAGGTGCCAGAAACGTCTGGACATGGGCTGACGGGGCAGCCTGGGAGTGGAAGAATCTGGGGCTCAGGTGACAGTGGGGGCCACTGACAAGCAGAGGCCATGGAGGGATGGCGTCTAGGTGCCCATAGAGCCTCAGGGCTGTGAAACCGTGAGGCGGGGCCAAGGGCCGCAGAGCAAGGAGAGGAGCGCCTGGCCTGGGCCTGGCACACACTGCAGCCCCTGACCCCAACATAAAACCCACTTCCCAAGAGGGCCAGAGCCCGCCTGTCCACTCCTGGGCGCACCACTGAGAACTGCTGGGGAAGGTGGGCAGGGGTCACACACTGTGACTGCAGAGGCAGAGGTGGCTACCTGCTTCATGCGTGGTCTCTGGAACCATCGCGGTGGAGGTGAAGGAGGCGCTGACCTTCCCCGTGGAGTAGTGGGCCTGCCAGAACACCAGGCAGCCTCAGCAGAGCCCTGGGAGGCCAGCGAGTGGGAACATGGATGCCCGCTTCGAATCCAGCCACACATGGTCTCTGTACCAGGGCCCCTCCTCCAGGAAGGCCTCCCTGATCCCCAACCCTGGGCCCAGCAGACAGCCGGGCCAGCATTGGCCTCCACTCAGGGCCCAGGCCAAGAGCCGAGGATGGGGACCCAGTGACAGCAGTGGGAGGGAAGCCACGGCTGGCCTGAGCCAGGGCCATGGCCTCAACTGGGCTCCAACTCTCATGACCTCACGTGAAACCCTGGAACAAAATACTACACGGGACCAGCCACCTCATCCTTAGGAGTGTGTGTGACTCCTCCTTTCTTTATAAAGGTTACACATTTCTACAGTAAACACATTATCTCTTTGATCAGGGGAGAGAAAGCCCCAATAAATATTTCTTATCATAGAGAAAGCAGCGGGGTTTCTCCCCATCAGGAGAAAATACACCGAAGTGCTAAGGGCGGTCGTGTTAGAATACGAAGGCCACGGTCAACAAACTTTCTTTTCTAAATTTCCCAGATTTTCTAGAATTTAGATAATTCTTTAAAAGGGAGGCAGGGCGAGGTGGCTCACGCCGGTAATCCTAGCTCTCTGGGAGGCTGAGGCGGAGGCGGGCGAATTGCTCGAGTTCAGGAGTTCGAAACCAGCCTGAGCAAGAGCGAGACGCTGTCTCTACTATAAATAGAAAGAAATTAATTGGCCAACTATTATATATAGAAAAAGAAAAAATTAGCCGGGCATGGTGGCACATGCCTGTAGTCCCAGCTACTCGGGAGGCTGAGGCAGGAGGATTGCTTGAGCCCAGAGTTTGAGGTTGCTGCGAGCTAGGCTGATGCCACGGCACTCACTCTAGCCTGGGCAACAAAGCGAGACTCTGTCTCAAAAAAAAAAAAAAAAAAGAAGGGGAGAACGTCAGTTTCCCCCCAGCAGCACTCCCCAGGCTCTGCCTGAGTGGGGTGAAAAGCGAGCAGGATACCCCAGACACAGGCCTGGGCACAGCAGCATAGGCACAGTGACCCACAAGCACCAGGGGTCCCCGAATCGTCCCAATTCTGGCGAGGCAGATCTTCGCAGCCAGGGCTGCCTCCCCTGTGAGGCTCTGTTTACCTGTCAGTTGGTTCTTCACCACCCAGCACAGATGTCGGCCCCACCCCTGCCACCTTGGCCACCCTGAGGACTAGGCACCCAGGGACCCAGAGACACTACAGCCCTGGGGGTCCCCCAGCACCCCACAAGCCCCTCCCTAGGACTACTCCAAGAGGCTGGGGACAGGTGGGGGTATGGAGCTCGCTGAGCGCCCTCAACACTCACGGCATTCAGCCTGTCCACCTTCTTCTTCTCCGGGCCCCTCATGGTGGCTGCCAGAACCTCGTCCCCTTTGAACTCCTTGTAGAGCTCCTGCAGGGTCTCCCGCGTCTCCGCGTTCGTGTTTTTCAAATAATAAGATGGGTCCTGTTTGGCCTTCTCTTCATCTGCAAAACAGAACACGGCCTTGCGCGCCGAGCCTCAGCAGTGCCCAAAATGTGTGTGGCTGGGACAGGACTCCAGAGCAGACGGCAACGGGGAACCACAGGGAACTCAGGCCACCCCATCTGGCGCCGGTGCCCAGCCACAGGCCTGCAGGGGCCGCCCTCGCAGTTACAGACGTCTGGGGAAGGCTTCAGGTCAATTTGTATTTTCTTCTTTGTATTTATCTGCATGTTCCAATCTTTTTATAGCATGTTTTGCTTTTGTAATTTTAAAAGTTATTTTTAAAAATAATAGAAGTGCTTGGGGTCTGTGAAACGCCACTGGATGTGCAGTGCCCATTGGTGCCCACTCCAGAGGGCGTGTGCTGCCTACAGGGTGGGGGCGCGGCCCACCCTGTGGAGGGGAGGGGCAGCACCCCCAGTCCACAGAGCACGGGCTTGGCCGGACCCCAGACACCACGAGCCTCTGGGTCTCCCGAGCCAGATCATTGCTCAGTTTCCCTAAATTCTAAGTGGTTCGTGCAACAATAGACAAGTGCCTGGGACGCTGTCCTGCAGAGCTGAGGCCAACTGAGCCCCGAGCATGACTCACTGGTTGCTCCAAAGCTGCGTACGGCCACAAGTGAGTCCAGAAAACATGAGGACCCCCATCACCCCAAGATCCACTCTTTGATAGCACAGGCCGTCCACGGGGAGGACAGGGCACAGAACACAGGGCCCAGCTGGCCCCGGGACACAGGCTGCACACAGACCAGAGCCTCCACCCCATGGGCAGCCCCACGGCTGCGCTGGACAGAGCAGGGGTCGACGGGAACTCAGGGAGGCGCACACCCACGGCCGAAGGGGAGAAGGTGAGGAGGCATCCCGGCAGGGTGGCAAGGCCGACCCGCCTGCGTTTCCAGGCTGCAGTGGGCTCGGGTCCTCTGGGGCTGAACAGCGTTCAGAAAACGCAGGCCTGTCTGGGCTTGAGCTCCGTGTCCCCAGAGGGCGGGGGCTTTGCCCAGGATGCACTACCCCTGCTTTCCCCAAACCCTAAACCCAGCCCAGCCTCTGGTGGAACATACCTGGGTCTATTATTTTCATGTTATTCTTAACATGAAAGAAGTTGGAGACATTGAACTTGTCCAAATTGGTGGGGTCCTGTGGCAAAACGACAATGCCCAGCGCAGTGAGCCCAGCACTCGAGCCAGCCACGCCTGCAGCCCAACAGCAGCCATGCTCGGCCAAGGCGCGTGGGTGCCAGGAGGGGGACGCAGCGGCGTTGCCCTGAGGCTGGGGTGTCCAGCAGGGAACAGGGGAAGGGGGAAGAGCTCTGGCCCGGGCAGGGTGACAAGCAGCAGCAGGGTTGAGACAGGGCACAGAATTGCTAGCTGTTCACCAAACTGTGTGCCATCCCTGTTAGGAAGGCACAAACAGGAACGTGGACAGCCATGGGGCCGCCCTCTGATTAGAATGGGATGAGTCACAGAGGAGGTGGCTGCACGTGGCCTGGCCCTACTTTTCTTTCTTTCTTTCTTTTTTGAGGCAGAGTCTCACTTTGTTACCCAGGCTAGAGTGAGTGCCGTGGCATCAGCCTAGCTCACAGCAACCTCAGACTCCTGGGCTCAAGCGATCCTTCTGCCTCAGCCTCCCGAGTAGCTGGGACTACAGGCATGCGCCACCATGCCCAGCTAATTTTTTGTATATATATTTTTAGTTGGTCAATTCGTTTCTTTTTATTTTTAGTAGAGACGGGGTCTCACTCAGGTTCGTTTTGAACTCCTGACCTCGAGCAATCCACCCGCCTCGGCCTCCCAGAGAGCTAGGATTACAGGCGTGAGCCACCGCGCCTGGCCTGGCCCTACTTTCCTAAGTCAGCGCTTTCCATCTACTCACTGGGGCTCTCTGACGCCTGCAGGGCGGCCTGTGCCCGATGCTGGGCCCAGAGTGCACGCCAGTTCCTGCCCTCGAGGCACTGGAGTGGCCACTGTGCCCCAGATGGCTCTGAGGGCAGAGAGGAGGGACCCCGACACCAGGCTAGGGGGATCATGAGAGCCAGACTGAGGAAGTGGCCATGCAGAGGCCTGGGGTGGCTGCAGGCGGGGGCCTTTGGGACACTGAGGGCAGGGTCGCCGGAGGGGAGACCACCACGCCCAGAGAGCCACAAAGAGGTTGGGGGCCCCTCCTGGCGGGAAGCAGACTCACCTGCAGGGTGATGATGTCCTGTCGGGAGAAGGGCTCATCGCTCAGCAGGTCTCGGAAGTTCTTGGCCTTGATGTTCAGCTGCTCCACTGCCTGAGGCCGGGAGGACGTGGCATCTCGGCGCCTGCCCTGAGCCCTGGCACTGCGGCCTGGGAGAGCCCTGGCACTGCAGCCCCAGGCAGGAGGCCTGGAGCCACCCCGGCACCATCAAGAGGTGAGGAACCCCAGAGACAGCTGTGCACACCCCACACAGCGGCCACTGCTGTGAAGGCAGAACCCACTGGGCCCCAGATGTTGGCGCCAATTCAGCCTCTCGGTGGCCTCCCCGGGGAGGCTCGTCATGGTGCCTCACGGGTTAGCAAACACGCCCCCGCCCATGGGCCCCCACCTTCCCTGAGCACCTCCCATGCACCAGGCATGGCGCTGGGCCCATGCAGCCAGCCATGAGAACATAAAATAATGCGAATAAACTGCTGAGCGCAGAGTCCGGGAACACAGTAGGTGTTCAGTATGTCTCTTCAACAACAGCAGTTACTGTTATTAATAATTTCTAAAGTTGTTACCAATTTTCTGGGACAAAAATTTCTCAGTGACCACTAGATGGCATTAAGGTTCATTTGTAGACAGTATGGTCCTTACTCATGACAGTAAAAACGTGGTGAAGAGTAATTTCATACATATTGCTCTAAGTCGTGTTTTCATCAGTTGTGATTTTGCGTTATTTTATGTAGAAAATGAGATGTGGCCTCGTGGTGCACCATCAGCAAGGGCCGACCCAGTCCTTGTGCCCTTCCAGCAGGAAGTGGCCCTAGACCCCTGGGGCAGCACCAGCCACCAACCCTGCAACCCTCAGTGTAGGAACAGAAACGGCAGGAGAGCAGGCTGCTCCTGCAGCACTGGGCCTGCCTCTGCACGGGCGGCCAGCTTGGGAGTCTCTGCCTCCTTTTCCCCGACCCACTCCGGGGCAGAACTCCTCCCATGACCAGGACCCACTCCTTCCTGGGGACAGTTGGCTCCACCCAGAGCCAGGGCCCAGCACCCCCCTCACAGCCCTGGGGGCCTGTCCTCTGCAGGGCCTGGTCTTTGACGAAGACATGGGAGGACCTCAGGGGGAAAATGGCCTCTGTCCAGCAGCCAGGACCACCTGGACTCCAGGTCCAGAGGTGGCAGGAAGCCCCCACCCCTGTCTAAACATGGGAAGGCTGCCCAGCAAGAGCTCTGGCAGGACACCCTGCGCCAGTGGCTGTGAACCCAAAAGGACAGGCTGTGCCCAGCCCATCCCAACACTCAGCCCAGACGGCACAGCCAGGACCACACACCTGAGGCCCCCACACCATGTCCCCATGTCCCAGAGCGAGGACCTACCTCGTAGGCATAGACGTTGCCGGTCGTCCTGACAGCCACAATGTGGGTGTTGTTGGTGAACACAGTGAATAGCACTGGGCAGTGGTAGTTCCCTAGTGAGAAGGCATAGTGAGGCTGGTCACCTTGCATGTGGGCTGTGACATCCCAGTGAGAACTGCTGGGGACCAGGGCAGCAAAGAACTCAGCCCCAGGTCAGAGGATGGAGGAGGCAGAGGTAGAAAACTCCTATTCATCCTGCAAGACCCAACCCCAGCACCACCTTCCTCGGATCCTCCGTGGCCCCCAGTCCACCCCCGGGTGACCACCGACCTCCTCCTCTTGAAGTCGGCCCACGGCAAGAAACAGCCCATACTCCCAGGGACCCAGACCCTCACCACCTGTCCCCGTGCCTGATCACTGCTGCAAACGCCTGACCAGCCCCCTGCCCAGAAAGTCCCCACCCCGTGGCCAGGGGCCCTGTCAAATAAGCCCCAAGAAAGAAACTGCAGAGAAAAAAGTGGGAGGAAAACTTCTAAAGTAAGAGACTCAGAGACATCAACCACACACATTTGTATGGACTTTTTAAACATCCTAATTTGAAGATTATAAAAAAATAATTAGGAGACAATTATGGAAACAAGACACTGGCCGGACATTCGATGAGACTAAAGAACTGTAAATTTTTCTGGGCTGAGAGTGGGATTGTGGCTGTCTGTCTTACATCCTTATGTCTAAGTGCTACCCAGTGAGGTCTCCAGGCCAGGGACTGGCTTTCTCCGCCAGCACAGAGGGGCTGACAAGCCAGGGCAGGCTCACGGCACCAGCACTCTCCGCTTTCATTCGTCTAAAATTCCAATTAACAACAAAACAAAGGAAAAAAACTTCTAGATCAAAGTTATTGAAAAACAAAAAATAGAGAAAAGTTAGACCAGATCTTGTTCCCTCCTCAGCGGTTCCCATCTTAGAGCAGAAGAGCAAATCTTCCATGGCTGCCCAGGCCCCACAGGAAGGCTGTGCACGCTGTCCCCAGCTCTGACCTCTCCCACCACATCCCCTGCTCCTGCCCCAGCCCACACTGCTCCCCTCAAGCGTGTGCCTACCCCAGGGCCTTTGCACTGGCTGTGCCCTCGGCTGGTCAGAGCTCCCAGATCCTACAGGCTCCTCTACCCAAACCTTGTCCCCCTGCAGCCCTCTCTGCCATACATCTGTCCATGGCAGAGGCAGCACCTGACACACCCTTCTGGGCAGTTTTCTGGCTTTCCCCCCACCAGAACATAGGCTCCCTCGTTCAGGACAGAATAGTCTCCACACACGGCAGGCACTCAACAGGTGCTTGCCCAGTGACAGGTGCACACTGCAGCCCGCCCTGAACCAGCGATCGCAGAGGGGAGGCACTCCCTGCCCTCCACCAGCTGCCAAGGACATGCTGCGCTGCTGTCACCAAGGACCACTCACTCATTCACCTGTGAAACTGGCACCGACCACGGGCCGGGATCTGGGTCAACAAGGGAGGCCCAGCCTCACGTGGTTCAGGGTCCCCTGGAACACACATGCCCGGGGCACAGGGACAACCACCCACGCCATGGCAACTGCATGGGCACAAGGCCTGGGCCAACCCACAAAGAACCCAGACAGCTAGATCTGTGCCCAGGCAGGGGCTGGGCAGGAGGGTCGCCTCACCTTAGATGTCTGGCCCTGAGAAGAGCGGAGGGCGAGCAGGGGACATAAGCGGGAGGAACCAGCGCTGGGCGGGGCCTCATGAGCAGTAGCAAAGGGCGGCCCAGCCCAAGAGCTGCCTGGCAAATCCCTCTGGACCAACTGCCCCGCTGCCTGCCCACACCGCGTCCTCCACCTGAGCAGCTTCAGCCTGCATCGAGGCTCAGACCAAAGCCTCAGATATGGCCCGGCACCACAGAGCCCGCTGTGCCCACAGAAGCCACTCGCAGCTCGAGACAGCTCAGCCGCCTGTGTGGAAACCAATGCCCGACACCAAGGCTGCGCCCCCATGAGCCCCGGCTCACAGCAAGCTGGGCCTTTGAGGAGAAATCGCATGGTGCCTTTCAGAAAGCAAAAGCAAGTGTCTAGCTTGATCAGAAGGGAAAGACAGATTCTGCAAGAGACCTAGGAGAGCCGGGGCCCTGGGTCCACGGGCCAAGTCCTGGGCTGGCCGTGATGGCTCTACTCACCCTCGCTGTTCTTGGCGAAGTTCAGCTTGATCAGGGACCTCCCATCCAGTTTCTGAAGAAGCACAGTGAATAATTAATAACAAACAGCTGGCTGGTATAAAGATATGCCAGGCCAGGAGGGAGTCAGAGACACACTGGAGTGGCTGTGTTTGGACACTTTTATAGTGAGCACAGATTACTTCTGAAATTAAAAAAATGAATGTATTTCTTCAGCTATTGGGGGGCTATGCAGGTGTCTACTTATTTTGCCATATAAATATTTAAGAAAAACAAGACATTAAAAGTCGAGGGACCCTGTAATATTCTGAAAGAAAAAAAGATACAAAAAAAAAAAAGTGGAAGGAAAAGAATAAATACACCCAAACGCTAAATATGGTTGTGATGGGAAGATGGGATCCTCTATTTTTCTTTTTCCTTTTTTTTTTTTTTTCTGAGACAGGGTTTCTAGAGACGGGTTGCTATATTGCCCCAGTTGGAGTACAGTGGCTATCAGAGGCACGATCCTAGCCCACTCCAGGCTTGAACTTGTTGGCTCAAGGGATCCTCTTACCCCAGCCTCCTGAGTAGCTGGGACAATAGGCACATGCCACCATGCCCAGCTAATTTTTCTGTAGAAACAGGGTCTCGCTATGTTGCCCAGGCTGGCCTCAAGCGATCCTCCCGCTTTGGCCTCCCAGAGTGCTGAGACTCCAGGCAGACCTGCACGGTCATCATGCTGTCCTTTCAGCTTCAGATGCTGCCCCTGATGACCCAGAAGAGTCACCCTGTCCTGCACAGTCAGGAAGTCCCTCCTACCTCTGTGTTCTATATCTGCTAACAAGGCTTCTGACACCAAACACGTGGGGTTTCCTCACCACATCCAATTCACTGAATCTCCAGACGCCAACTGGATATCCAACCATTTGACTCAATTCTGACATGACTCCCTGTTGTCAGCACAGACCTCACAGGCTACGGGTGCAGTCACAGACTGTGTCCGCCGCAGACACGGCCACAGGTCCAGGCCTCCCGAGCTTCTGCCTGATGGGCTGTACATCGGGGCTCCTTCACCTTCTCCTCAGGTCCAGCAATTTCCGAGACTGGCTCACAGAACTCAGAAAACCCTTCACTTGGCCAGATAAGGAGGTACAAGGGGCAAGATACAGAAAGGTCCCAAGCGCAGGAGCTTCTGTGCCTGCGGTGTGGACGTGCTCACCAGCACAGAAGCTCCCAGAACCCTTTGCTTAGGGTTTTCTTGTTTGTTTGTTTGTTTGTTTGTTTGAGACAGAGTCTCACTTTGTTGCCCAGGCTAGAGTGAGTGCCGTGGCGTCAGCCTAGCTCACAGCAACCTCAAACTCCTGGGCTCAAGCGATCCTCCTGCCTCAGCCTCCCAAGTAGCTGGGACTACAGGCATGCGCCACCATGCCCGGCTTACTTTTACTATATATATGTTAGTTGGCCAATTAATTTCTTTCTATTTATAGTAGAGACAGGGTCTCACTCTTGCTCAGGCTGGTTTTGAACTCCTGATCTAGAGCAATCCACCCGCCTCGGCCTCCCAGAGTGCTAGGATTACAGGCTTGAGCCACTGGGCCTGGCCTTTGCTTAGGGTTTTTAAAGTGGCTCCACTTCACAGGTACAATTAATTAATTCACTGGCCATTAGTGACCGACTCAATCTCCAGCCCCTTCTCCCCTGAGGTCTGGGTGGAGCTGAAAGTCCAACCCTCTAAATCACAAGCTGGTTCCCCTGGGGAGCAGAGCTACCACCTCCTCCTCCTCCTCAACTCAGGTTGGGCTGAAAGGGGTTCCTTAGGAATAATGAAAGACTCAGCTTGCCCCATGACCCAGGAATTCCAAGAGTTTTAGCAGCTCTAGGCCAGGAACCAGGAACCAGAGCCAACACACACTTCTCACTACAGCACAGCCTGAGATCCCAAGCACAGGACGATCACCTGGTACCACCTGCCTACCCCTAGCACAGGACACACAGAGGCCACTCAGGAAGCTCTTGCTGAACTGAACCGGTCCCCTGACACCTGACTACACTACGGTTACTACTAGGTCTCTGCTACCACCAGGGAGAGAGACCTGCCTGGGAACCTCAGCACATCCCGCTGGCCTACCGGCCACGGCCTCCCTGGTCTGCTGCCTCCAGCCTGGTCACGGCCACAGGTCCTGCACACAGCAGGGGCCAACACCTTCCTGCTGGACGGACAGATGCCATTGAATAAATGAAGAAATGGCCCCAAATGAGGGAAGGAGAGAAATCTCTGGGCAGTGAAGGAACCAAGAGAACAGAGAAGATGATTAACACGTAGGAAAACCACGGGTTTGTAACAAAGACATGAAGTGGGATGTAGAAAAATGGAAAAGGAAAATGAGTTAGAACTTGACCCTGGGCACACACTTCCGAGCGGCACAGAATTTGCAAGACATATGAGAAAATGCTTGGTCTAACTCACAATAAAAATACAAATTAAATTTATTTTTTGGCCCATAAGTAGCAAAAATTTTTTAAAAATAGATGATAACCAGTGTTTCTGAGGCCAGGAGAAACAGGTGCCTTCTTTTACACGCTGCTGTTAGTGCAGAGACGCAGCCCCACTGCAGGGCAAGGAGTGGCAGCTGCCAGCGCCGAGACTGAAAACGCACCCACCCTGCGACCCAGCAGTCCCACAGGATGCTCCTGTGTGCCCAGAGACAGGCACGCAAGGACAGTCCCTGCGCCTCTGTACCGGCAAATGATAAAGGCCACACAGCACATCTAGAGAAGGACAGCAACAGCCGTCACAGAATGGGCCGCACTCTGCGCTGACACGCCCAGATCTCCAGAGGCGCTGCGGGGTGCGCAAACCATGGAACAGAAGGGTTCCCGCACTAGGAACGACATACACACACACACGTGTGTGCACAAGCAGGAAACATTTCCAGAAATGACTACGTAATGGGGTGGGGGACTGAACCCCCTCACTGTGCCCCATGAATGGTTCTCTAACACAGTCGTGATACACAAAACCTCTAGAATAAAAGGCAAGAGGACAGCGTTCACCAGCATCACTGCAACTCCTGCCTGGCCACCTACCTCTCCATTGCTGGGGTTGGTCCCGTACTTCTTAAGCCATGGAACGATGTTCCTAAAGAGAAGAGAGGACAGAAAGCATCACCGCAGCAGTCGGGCGCCACCTGGTAACAACACCGTGGTCCTGGAGGCGGCTTCTAGGTTAGAGGGTTTGCTTCCCTTCAGGAGGGGAAGAGCCCCAACAAAGGAAAGGGAGATATTTATGGATACACAGGTTTCAAAATATGTTCAGGTTTTTACTGCAGTTATGTATCAACAACAAAAACTGTAACAAGGTAAAAAGGTGTAACAAGGTAAAAAACTGTAACAGGGTAAAAAACAGGCCGGGCGGGGTGACTCACGCCTGTAATCCCAGCACTCTGGGAGGCAGAGGCAGGCGGATTGCTCGAGGTCAGGAGTTCGAAACCAGCCTGAGCAAGAGCGAGACCCCGTCTCTACTATAAATAGAAAGAAATTAATTGGCCAACTAATATATATATATATATAAAAAATTAGGCGGCATGGTGGCGCATGCCTGTAGTCCCAGCTACTCGGGGGGCTGAGGCAGAAGGATTACTTGAGCCCAGGAGTTTGAGGTTGCTGTGAGCTAGGCTGACGCCACGGCACTCACTATAACCTGGGCAACAAGCGAGACTCTGTCTCAAAAAAAAAAAAAAAGGTAAAAAACATTTATTGATGTTGATATGTCTGTACAATAAAATACTGGGCCAGTGTCGAAAATTATACTTTCAGGCTGGGCGAGGTGGCTCACGCCTGTAATCCTAGCACTCTGGGAGGCCAAGGCGGGAGGATCGCTTGAGGTCAGGAGTTCCAGACCAGCCTGAGCAAGAGTGAGATCCCATCTCTACTAAGCATAGAAAGAAATTAGTTGGGTGTGGTGGCACGCACACCTGAGCCCAGGAGTTTGAAGTTGCTGTGAGCTAGGCTGACACCACGGCACTCTAGTCTGCGCAACAGAGTGAGACTCTGTCTCAAAAAAATAAATAAATAAAATGGACAAGAAAAAAAATCGTACTTTCAGAGAATTCTGAATGACCTGGGGGGAAAAGCCCTCATCATAACAGAGTGAAAAACAGATCCACACAGTGTTATCTTTGTTGTTGTTGTTTTAGAGACAGGGTCTTTCTTGCTCTGTCAGGCAGGCTGGAGTGCAGTGACACTCTCATAGCTCACTGCAGCCTCCAACTTCTGGGCTCTAACTTCTGCCTCAGCCTCCCAAGTGGCTGGGATTACAGGCACCACCATGCCCAGCTCATTTTTTTTTTTTTTTGGTAGAGAAGGGTCTCCATATGTTGCTCAGGCTGGTCTCGAAACTTCTGGCCTCAAAGAATCCTCCACATCAGCCTCTCAAAAAGTGCTGGAATTACAGCCATGAGCCACCGTGCCCAGCCAAGTGTTACCTGTTAATACTTCACAACCACATTACTACAAATAAACCCACAGAAAAAATGAGTCTCAAAATTTATGGTAGTCAACCTGGATAGTGGGATTATGCTAAAATTTTCCCTTTTTCTTTGACATATTTTCTAAATTTTCTATAGTGAGCCTGAAACATGAAAAAATTATAGAAGCTGGCTCATGTTGAGAAGCAAAACTGGGCATAATGCTTCAAAACAGAGCACTAGAAAAGTATGCACCTTAACTATGGCTCTGCTGCCATAAAGTGGAAAACACTCGAGGCAGTTACATTCCAGAACAGGCACAGGTATGCTGGTGAGAACAGCAGGACCCCACATGGGGGTCGGGGTGTGGTCAACCCCATTCCAGGCAGTGACAAAAGCACTTGGCCAACTAGAGCTACCTGCCTGGGTGTCACGGCAGCACTCCTGCCATATCCCCGAGGACCTGGCTCTTCCTTCTCAGTCCCGAAGAGGCCACCTAGGGCTCGTGAGGCTGCTGGGACCAGGCGTCTGTCTGTCAGTGCCTGGCTTGGTGCTGCCTGGAGCCACTGACCCAACATCCCCATCCTTAGTGGCTGTCAACAGTCTCACCATGTTTGTTAGATCAAAATTCAAGGAAAAACTCACAGCAAGTCAAAGACGATGCCTTCAGGGGTGCAGACTGGGTAGACGAAGGGCTGTAGGGAGAGACTGAAAAAGGACAGAGTCACTCCTGGTCAGCAGCCGGCCACAGCTGGTCAGGCCATGGGCTGGCTGGGCCTGGCATGGTGACCTCCCAGGACACTGCCTCAGGATCCCTCTCTGGGCAACCTTCCACCCTAATTGCAGCACCGGGGCAAGCTCTAAACATCATGACAACAACGAATACCCATCTTCTCCCAACATGATCGCAATGGCCACATTTTCAAAGCACATTTTTACCCATAAATCCCAGGTTGTTAAAAAATGGTCACAATGCAGACCAGAGCCCTGCTGGAGGAACTGGAACCGAGGATGGAAGCAGCATCCATCACATCGGTTCATTCTGGATCTGAACATGACCACACTCCCATAAGGCCCATGACAAAACCTGGTGGGGTGGGAGAAACCCTGGCCAGCGATGCCCAGGCCTCCTTTGTTCACCCTCCCCAGGCAGGTGCTGGTGAGCAGAAAAGCCCCCACTAACCACATGGAAGCCCCTGGGCAGAGGCAGGGAAGGCCAGCTGTTGGGCTGCAGCAGCTGTGCCCACCCCCCACCCCTGGCCTCCCTGCACTGAGCACGACCCTCTGCCCCTCTCCTGCTGCACTGTGGTATCCAGTTGACCTGCCTCAACTAGGGTGCCAGGATCACAGCAGAACTCTGTCAGCTAAGGTCCACCCTGATCTACAGAATCAGAAGTTGGGGTGTTGGGGAGGATGCTGCGTAGACATGCACGTGTCCAGGGCAGAGGCGACCATGGTCTAGGCTTGGGGAAACTCAGGCCCAAGAGGTGCCCACTCCCACAGCCCCCCTTGCCCTGGGAGGAGCAATGTGCTTGGGTTCATCGGGTCTGGTCCTGCTTCTCCAACAGGCCCCCGTTTTGTTCATACAGGTATCAATGTGGGCTGAAGAAGCATTTGAGCGGTTCTATATCTGGGTCCCTCCCCACCCAAACAGTGACCTGAGTTCCCAGGTAAGGGGCAAAGGGCCTCCAGGCATCATTACTTTTGTTGCTGCTGCTACTGAATCTGGAACAAGAGTAAAGTGTCAAAGGCATGGACCCAGAGTCCGACCACTGGGTTCAAGACTCTGCGGCACCACTTCCCAGATGTAACACCAGGGTGAGGTACTTCACTCTTGTAAGCATCAGTTCTCTCAACTGTAAAACAGGCTTAACACCAGGGTCTACCCCCCTTGGAAGGTAAGAATGAAGTTAAAAGACAACGCACATCAACACAAACATGATAAGCAGAAAATAACCACTAGCTGTCATCATCGGTAGGTCCACCTTCTCCCTGTTTAGGGAAGAGCTAGGTGGGGGACACAGACAGAACCCCAAATGCATCCCCAAGGGACAGATTCACTATTAGAAAGTATCAGAGAACAACCACAAGGGAAAGACAAACTTGGAAAAACCTTTACCTGCAGTGGTCAAAAGGTAAACGACGAAAATTTGTTTGTGGGAGATCTGTTTAAAATAAAATAAAAACCAGAAATCTTACTCTGCAAAATATTTCATCTGTTTCATCATCAACAATTCAATTACATTTTATGAAAAAGTTCATGTGAATTACCTAGTAATTGCTGTGAATTAAAAACCTTTTTTTAGTTATAACCAAAACACATGAGGTACATCAAAAAAGAACTGAGACAAAAAACTACATACTTTTTTACTCTCAATAAACTATGACAATGCTCTTTTTAACTGTGGCCTTGATAGCTTTGATAGCTAAAAAGATCATTCTTCATATTCTTTATTAACTTGATAGAAAAAAAATGTTCTATTAACCTACATTTTAAAAACTCACCAAGATGAAACATGTTATCTTTTATTGAATGTATTTCCTCTTTTGTGAACTATGTCCTCAGCCCATCTGTCTACCATAGTTTGTGTTCTTGTTAATCGTCCATTTTTACAGCTCATTGTGTAATGAAGACATCATTCCTTAATGCCACCGCCCCCCAAGGGGGAACAGAAGGATTTCATGCCTTACCTGGCTTCTTGCCACCATAGAAGTGAGTGTATTCGGCACAGGTAATGTACCTGACGAGAAGAGAGGGAGACAGAATACTACTACCACCCCCTTCATAAAGATGACTGCGTCTTTAGAAATGAGTAACCAACGACTTGATCTTTGCTCATTCAATGAATGCTATGAAACACCTACTGTGTGTCAGGCACACAGCGATAAACACAATAGACATGGGGATACATAAATAAGTCAACAAATACAAACAGTCCTGCTTTGCTCTGAAGGAAACAGAATTTATCGGAAGACCTGACAATGAGAAGTCACTGTGGGAAGAGCTTTCCAGGCAGAGGGAGCAGCATACACAGCACTTAGCAAAGCCCTGAGGCAGGAAAAGTTGGGTGTGTTCCAGAAGGGGGCTGTCGCAGGAGAAGAATGTGCACAGGGCTTGCGGCAGATGAAGACAGATATGGGCAGTGGCCAGATCACAAGGGCCTCACAGGCCATGGTCAACACTCCAGATATGCCCTAAGTGGGATGGAAAGCTGTTAGAAGGTTCTGAGCAGAGCTCTGACGTGATCTAACTTAAGTCTCAAAGCATCAGTCTGGCCACTGTGTGTAGGGCACAAGCAAGAGAGGCAGCACAACATCAATCAGGACGGGACTACCAAGGTCCAGGAAAGAGGTGGCATAAACTCCACCTAAGGGGGAATGGGGACAAAGTGAGAAGTGTCAGTTCCTGAAAGAGCCAGCAGGATTTCCTGATGGACAGGAAGAGGTAGGTGAAAGGCACCAAGGCCAGCTCCCTGACTTCTGACCTGGGCAAACTCAGGACCATCAGGTGTGACTGCTGCAATAGGAAGGCTGGGGTAAGAGCAGGTGCAGGGACTGAAAATCAAGAGTTCCATCTGGGGCATCAGTCCTCCAAGTGGAGGTGTGAGTAAGCAGCTGACTATTGCAAGACTGGAGAGATCTCCCACAGAGAATATTTATGGAGGAGAAACCTATGGAGGTCTGGGAGAAGGGAGGAGGGTCCAGCAAAGGAGACTGGGAAAAGACGGGCCACTGAACTAGACTGAAACAAAGAGCACGTGGGATCCCAGAGACCAAAGAAGGGCTTCAGAAGAGAGATGGCAATCGCGCTGCATGCTGTTGAACAGCTCAACAAAATAAGAACTGAACACGTGATGTAGCAACACGTATGTTACTGGGATCCCGACAAGAGCTGTTCTGGGAGCAAAAGTCTAAGTGGAGTGGTTTCAAGAGACAGCAGAAAACGACAAGTAGTCTTAGGTCTTTCACTTGTTGGGACAAGAATCTGAAACACGGTGGCAGCTGGAGGGGAACACGGGGCACAGCGGCTTGCTTTAAATTGGAAGACTGCAGCATGTGTACAGGCTGACAGGCGTACCCCAGCACACGGGGACGCCGGAGGTACAGAGGAGAGACTACTCATTCGGGAACAAAGCTCGCGCGTGGACAGGGCCAGCCCGGGGCAACAGCATACAGGTAAGGAAAGACGGAGCTCGCGCAGCGCCAAGGCCGGCGGAGGCCACACTCGGGAGACCGCAGCTGACCGTGCTGGAGCCGGGATCCCGGAGGTCGCGGCGGCTGGGGGGTCAGCTCCCTGCCTGGGGAGCGGGGGAAGGCTCCCGTGGGGAAGCGACATTCGGGACCGGCTCGGGGGAGGAGGAAGAGGAGCGGCGCGAAGCGCGGGACAGACGGGGACTGACGCAAAGCGGGGCTCCGCCCCCGGCTGCGGCTCAACTCACATCTTGTCCTTCTGATGCTGTCGCTTCCCCATGGTGGCGGTGGCGGGGGAACCAGCAACACAGAAAAGCGACGACAGACAACTTAGACCCAGGCGCCTTCACCCTGTCCCCGACTACTTCCGGGTTCCGCGGCCCCGCCCCGGAAGGGAACGCCCGGCGGGCCAAGAACTGCGCCCCTGGCGCCGAATGCGCATGCTCTCGGCAGCCCGCCGCTGGGTTCAGAGTCTCGGGCTGAGCACTCTTGCTCGCTCTCGCGCCTTCAGGGGCCTGGCTACTTCCGCCTCGAAGCCCCATCTTCTTGAGGGGCCTCTCTCTGGACCGCCTCGTTTACCCACCCAGTCATGGCTCGACGCCATCCCCGCTCAGACCCACTCTGGCTTCTCGAGTCTTCTAAAACGTCCCCCTGGAACCCTGAGTCCCAGCAGCCTCTGCTCCGTCCCACTCTCCTGAAGGTACCAACACCCACCCAGTCGCCCAAAGCCAGTGGTTCTTGCCTTTTCTCATGACAGGGTGCTTCCCATCATCCAGGTTTCAACGTAAGTGTCGCCTCCTCAGACCTTCCTTGCCCACCCACTCCACATGTCCCAGAGGGCTTGCAACAGCTCTAATTCGGTAGCAATTTGGCGCACATACGGATTTACCACTGCCTTCTCACACACAGGAGGATATGGGAGGTAAGCTCCTTAAGGGCGGGCATTGCCACTGCTTGGCTCATCATCTCCAGTCCCAAGCGAGGTGCGGGACATACACCAGGGCTCAGGGAATGTCTGCACTTATCCGGTAGTCATCAGGCATTTAGTGAGGACTCACATCTCACACGCAGGTTAGGTCCGAAGGTCAGAGTGTGGGGCAACAATGAGAGTTAACATATTTTGAAAATTCCTTGGGGAGGTGCCAAGTTGGAAACTAACAGGCCAGTTCATTTTTCCTCTGGAGAGGAGCAAGATCACTGTTTTTGGGGGGTGTTTTTGAGACAGAATCTTACTCTGTTGCCCGGGCTAGAGTGCCATGGCGTCAGCCTAGCTCACAGTGTGTCAAGACTCAAGCTCTTTTATGGTTAACTATTCTATGAATACATCGATTATTTTTGTATTTAGGTTATTTCTGAGACACGGTTCACTTGGTTGCCCCAGGCTAGAGTGGAGTGCCGTGGTCAAGGCCTAGCTCACAGCACACTCCAAACTCTCTGGGCTCAAGCATCTCCTGCCTCACCTCCGAGTAGCTGGGCATACAGGCATGCCACATGCCCGGCAATTTTTTATACTATTTTAGTTCCATTAATTTCTTTCTTTTTTTTAGTAGTGACGGGGTCTGGACTCTTGCTGAGTGGCTCAAATCCTGGACCTCGAGCAAATCCTTCCCCCTGGCTCTAGATGCTAGGATTACAGCGTGAGCCACCCACGTTG